TAAATCCTCTGTCTCTCGCTTCCTTCTCCTTTGCTCTTGTAAGAGATAAGTTGACTTTAATCCTAACTAGTCTCTGCAAAACCAGTCTTCCCTTTTAGATGCTATGTAAATGAAGGTGACATACTTGGTAGGTTTCCAAATGGGGTTCTCAAAAGTTAATATTACTTTAGGGGGAAGAACAACAGAAACCAGAGGGGAAGGGAGACGGCGGTCGGAGTGAGATTTGAAAATAATTAACAATCTACAAACTATCAGGGGGCCATGAAGATTGTGGGGGAGGGGAAAAAGGAGGAGCTGATCACAAGGGCTCAATGGAAAGTAAATGTCAGGAAAAGAATGATGGAATATATGTATGAATATGTGGGATAGAATTGATGTATGGTTTGTAACAAAAGTTGTAAGATCCCCTAATAAAAAAGGGGATGGGGGAAAGTCAATATTACTATTCCATTTTGCAGACCACATTCAAATCGTCCAACAACACACAATGAAACATTGGCGGAAGATTAATTAAAGCCCATCTGCATTGCTTCATTTGTTTTTCTACTTCACACTTATAGGAATGGTATGCAGAATTATTTTGAAGCCTTTGTGTTTTCATCTTTTTAACATAACAGTGTTTGCACAAAATATATTCTCAAGATGTCCTCTTGATATGCTTATTTCAATAGAATTATAGATCACCCCAAATGAAAATAAAAGTCATATATTTGATTCTTAATAATAAAGGATTCATATTTAGCTGAATTATTACTGACTTAGCAGAAGCCATTAGCTTTCTATTGCTAATTGGATCCAGCAAAAGTGAGGCTTTTCAGTCTCCAAAAACCCTTGCACGTGCACTTGGCAATGAAGAAACACTAAATCTACCTCCATCTTCATGGTCTAACATGTTGTGGTCTAGGATTCAGTATCACTACAGCGGACACTCCGGAAGCCTTCAAAGGGTTAATCCCTAACTACCAGGGGAGCTAACCCCAGATCCCCTCATCACTACAATCTGAATGTTTTAAAATCCACCAGAGAGGAATTAAACAAAACTCCGTCATCAAGTCTACTCTGATTCGTAGGGACCCCACAGGACAGAGACCTTAACTCTTTATGGGAGCAGAAAGTCAGCTCATCCATCTCCCAACTAGTCCCCAGTTTAGGTCCTGATTCCATGCTAAATTGACGCTGACTTAAGTTGAATACCTCATCTCTTCCCCGTCTCTATTATTACTGCCTGTGATGACCAGTATCTTATAAACGTGGCAGTGCTCTGAACAACGCATTGCAAACCTCACTTGAACATCTGAGAACAAAACTATAGAACAGAAAACACCACCAGGAACAAGATGGGTGTAGGTGTTGTTCCTTGTATTTAACCTATGTGGAAAGTCTGGGGCTGCCTCTATACCAATCATATCATAGTCCTGGGTGTGGGAGGGGGATCCAAACCCAAACCAAACTC